GATATTTTTTTTTTTTTTTTTTTTTTTTTTTTTTCGTATAACCATGCCAATAATTGTCATTAAAATTGCGAAATAGATTTTGATGGGCGTTATATTTATTCGACGCTTTCGAATAACATAAACATCGGGGCTGCTTCTGCGCGTTGGAAATGTATATACTTATTATACTGTCGCCTGATAACATATTTATAACGTCGTTCGAGCGCGTACATATTTTTTCGCTTATCTCCACATACTGTGTGTATATTATGTGTTGCACTTGATTATTCCCCATGCAGGTATATATTCACGGTCAATTTATACTTTTCTTTCGTAAAGATACAACAGACGCAGGGCCGTGCTCTTTTGCACGGATTTTTATCGATTAAAAGTATATAAAGTACGCGCGCTCAATCATGTCAGATTTGACAGTAGTAGATTTCACCAGGATAACATGCAGTCCTACCTACCACCCTGCAGCGTCACAACGAATTAATGCACGGAAGGAAATTCCGCGGTTACCTGCATATTATATATACATACTACATGTGTGCACCAGGCACTGCAGGTATAAATACCATTGTTCGGCACTGCAGCTGATGACTGACTATGCGGCAATGTCAAGGACCAAGTCGTTTGTTTGTTTGTTTGTTTTTTTTTCATTCGCTCCTATAGCGGGAATACGTTGGTTTATATAATGTTTAACGCGGCTGACGCGATAACCCAACGGGCGCGATCTGATTTTTCGTTTCAATCTCTCTAACATATGGACACTTAGTATCAAAAGGCACGAAGAAAAAAAAAAAAAAAAAATCGCGAAAGCTCGCACGCGCTCAAGATGGGCAGTAACTATCGGGAGGCAAAGAAAAATTAACATCGATAACTCGCGTGTCTTTGACTATCGCACATAACATGAATTCGGAAATCGTTAAGCCTAGTACGATTGTGTGTGTACATTAAAGCGGTGAGCATACAAGGGTCATTAGCGCCCCTTCGTCCTCCTGCACCGGGCAGGTGTGGGTACATTATTTATTTATTTATGCTGGTGATGCACGCGCGATCGGAATTTTGAATCGCGGTCGTGCGAAACGAGCGATATAAAGAAAAGGAAAACCGGCGATGGGTTAAATAAGCGGGGCTCTCGGACAATGGCGCGAGTTACGCAAATGGATAATGAGCCTCTCCGACAGCGGCATCCGAAAGCTCGTTTCGTATTTTCCATTTTTTCGTTGCGCGAGAGGAGGAGATTTGATTTCGGCCGGTGCGGCGGTTTAATTGCGCCGTTGTTTGTTTTAACTCATGCTTATTGTACAAACTTTTTCCGGCTTCTCGCGGAATTGACTAATCGCAGGAGGTTACACATTTTAAATTTGTTACGAAAGACCTCCAGGCTGTACAATTATGTGTGTATACTTATGAACATGTTTTGTGTGTACGTATGATATATTATATACACATACTCTTGCGCGGAAGTGCATCGTTTTGTCGCGATGTGGAAACATGCCACTACATATTTTCAATAGTATACTCGACGAGGATGTTTCACTTGCACGAATTTTTTTTTTTTTGTTTTTTCATCGCAAAGCAAAATAAAAATCGAGGCAACTTTTTTAAGCGGAAATATTTTTCGGGGCATATACATTGCATTATATAGATGACGGAAGTCTTGACGAATCGTGCGGTGCCGCGGGTAACTCGAACAATAAATTAAAAAAAAATATGATTATAAAAGTCAATATCGTTTGACATTCAAGAACAAGAAGTGCACGCGTTGCAAGTGCGAATCGTAACTCGATTACTGGAATCAACAGTGGCTTGTAATCGCGTGATTACGAAAATTGAATAGGTAAATAATATATGCAATGCACGCGTGATTATATATAAACGAGTTAAACTGTGCGACGTTTGGGAGATGTATCGATTAATAAAGGGGGTGGGCCTTTGGCAACCAATCGTACCTATAAATATATTGTGGAGTGGAGCACAGTACTGTTTTCACAGCTGAAACGACATAATATATTTATAATATATATGTATACGATGCATGATTACGCGCTCAGTGCAAAGTCTTAATTAATGTTTCCGAGAGTTTATGGATTTGGCTGTAAAAGTATCATCTGGTATATATTACTACATGGATCGACACAAGAAAGACATTGCAACAATTCGTATCAATGAGCCAACCACATAATTATAGATACGATATAAACTCGAAGCACACAGCAATGATATTTCAATACTCCTGTGATTCCCCGAATTTTCTGCTCTTAAACGCGCCGAGGATTGAGTTTGATATCTCATCTTCCGATGGAATCTCATGCTCCTTATCGACTAGTATTTCACTTTTCAAATTTTTCATCGCGTGCTCTCCGACTCTTTCTTTCCTTTCCTACGTATTGCCTTTCAAAGTAGATTAAAATGGATTTCCGGCTGGAGCTCGCAAAGCCACGCGATCTGCTTTCGACACCTATCTACGATCAGACTGCACTTACCTTGAGTATTTTCCAGTGCAGGAGCTGGCTCCGACAAATCCCGCACGATCGAACGGGACCCGAATTTTCAGATTCAGATTAAACAGACAACACCGGCTGAGTACATAATTATACTTCGGTTCAATGTGAAAATTCAAGAGTAGTTGCGCGCTCTCTTATCGTTTCGAAACGGCTACTTACGCGAATCAAGCGTAAAATCTGATTATCTTGAGATATAGGATTGATAGTATGAAATTAGCGCAGCGCTTTATCTATACACCTGTGCAATTGAAGAGCAATCCATGAGCACTTTGCCCTCGTTCGTGTCATTGTTTTTTTTTTAATTCCGTTTCTCGGTTTCAGGAAAATCGGAAAATATCAGTTTTCCGCGAGACTCTACGTTGAAAGGTCAAATTTTATCCAACCGATACCTCGGCTATATTGATTTCATGTACCGTATGTTTATCAACTCCAAGTTTTGTAGGAATGGTTATCGTACATTTTTGCAAATTTGAAAATTATTTTTACCAACATCCTCTTGATGATTGTTTATCAACTTGATCAATGCCAACTAATACCTTTGCTTTTACTATCGCTTTTACGAAAACGTGAAATACGAGCTCCAAAGAGAAAAAATGGCTTGTTCGAAGGCTCTGCACCGTTAATTTTTTTTTTTCTCCCAACAGTGCCGAGTTTTTTTTTGCACGCTTCCATTCGCTATTTGTTAAAAAACGACAAAAAAAAGAAATTCGATCGCACAGTAGAGCAAATGGCAGAGAGAAGGAAGGAAAGTAAGAAAAAAAGAAAGAGAAACACGCACAGTGTATACATTGGTGGTACATGTATATAAAGTATTTGTTAGACGAAGACCCGAAGGGAACGAGCGCGCGGGCGACAGCCGATGGAAATAATTCGCGTGCGTAGTCCGGCTTTTTCCATCTAAAAAAAAAAAAAAAAAAAAAAAAAAAAAAAAAAAAAAAAAAAAATAAGACGCCGATGTAAGATTTCACATTGGCGCCTTTGCGGGACTCGAGTGTTGATCCGGGAAATTATCGCGTCGCGGGGTGTATAGGTATATTTTTACCCACTGCCAAGCCATCACCATATATCGATTAAACGCTCGATAATTACGGCAAGACAAAATTGTTGGCTCCTATTTTTTTCCTAACAAGAGCCATTGATCTCCGCGTTAATCGTAAGCTTACGTACCGGTTACCATAGCTGTAAACTCGATCGCGCGCAGCTATGTATGTGCACTGTATAATTGAATACCAGGCTGACTTGAAACCCGCAATATCGAGGTGATTTTAATTGCCTTTCTGGCTTTTTTTTTCTGCAAAAGTCTCTCGATTATTATTCCCTACAGCGACGTGACTTGCTATAGGCGTTGCTCTTAGAAATGCGATGCCCGTACAGCGGAGAGATTATACATCATACTTATATACCGGTTATCAAACGAGTGCGGGCTTACAATCTGTGTTGCGATGATATCATTGATAATTGAACCTTCCGATGTATAGGAAATCGTGGGGATGAACATCGTTTATGACGCGTTATTAGCGCTCAGCTGTTTCGTAGCGCGCGGTCTGTGGCGCGAAAAACTTGGTTTTCGATTGGGATAATAAAACAATCGGGAAAGTTGCTAGTATACATTGTTTGGTGATTGTAAAAAATAATCTTGTCAACGAATTCCGTCCGAGTGATCTTTGAAGAATATATTGGACACAGTATGAAAAAAAAAAAAAAAAAAAAAAAAAAAAAAGGAAATTTCTTACTTTTCCTTTCAATATTCGGTATGTAATACTACGCGCCATCATCGAGCGGAAATTAAAATTGATTAGATGATGCTCGAGAAATTTGAAAATTACACGTGTTCGCCGGT